TGTGCCGGTGGTGTCTTCATGGTCGGGAACAGCTTGGTGGGATCCTACAGCCGGGGCTTGGCAATGATTTGTTTGAGTTCTGGTGAAGCAGAATTCAATGGTGGGGTCATGGCCACCAGTGAAGGCTTGTTCTACAAGGAGGTCTTCGCTTTCTTCCGGATCCCCTTGTCTTTGCGGGTCTGGCTGGACAGCAGCGCGGCTCGCGGAATTTTCCAGAGAGGAGGAGTGGGGAAAGTGAGGCACTTAGAGACCAAAAGTCTCTGGGTGCAGCAGGGACTCAAGGAGAAGAAGTTCTCTCTACACGCCATAGCCACCGAGACGAACCCCAGCGACGTGCACACAAAGGCCATGGCGAGTGGACGCTTTGAAGTTCTCCGGGCAATGTTGGGGGTGCTTCCTGACAATGCCGAAGAGAAAGCAGCACGAGCAACCCTCGTGGCAGGAATGCTTGTGGGAAGCGTGAGGAACAGAGGAGTCAAAGCTGCCAGTGGCAGCAGCTTGGCAGCCATCTTGTTGGCGTGCAAGTTTGGGCCAGCAAATGCAGATGGCCTGGCGTTGCAGCGAAGGGGGGCCGGAAGGGTCGTGACAATCCAGATCCCGGACCCCAGCTACATCATGATCTTCGTGACCACGCTCCTCTGCATCATCATCGGCGGCTTCATTTGGTGGCTGCTGAAGCGTGATGTCAAGAAGGCCAAGACCGGCCAAGACATCCAGGATGTGTATCCAGTGAATGACATTCATGGGCCCATCCTCACTACGAGTGGGAAACGGACCCATCTTACTACCTTCTGCCCTTTCGTGCAAGGGCGGCAGACGAAGGCTTATCCCATTTGTGACTACTGTCACCGTCATGTCTCGAAGAGATATGAGAAAGTGGAGTGAAGAAAGGGCTTGGGCCTACCTCGATCAGCAAAGTGCTGAGGGGGGTGATGCGATTCTTGAAGCATAGGGCGCTTGACTTTAACACATATCGACAGCCCTTTGCAATCTCGAAGAAAAGGACCGAGGGTAGAGCCTGCTTCGCTTCATACTAGTACCCTGTTCTTTCTCTTGCATGTGGGCAAGGTGTTCCTACAACCTGGTCGCTGTCTTGGCTTGTTGCGGTCTTGTGGGACATGGGAAGCTGGAGGGGCCAAGGTCGATGGAGTGCATGCATGCTCCAATCGAGACCTGCTGCGAGTCGTGCTGCCGACGAGCTTTCGTTCAGCTTCTCTCAGAGAAGGGACAAGGGCTATCAATCGCAAGATGCCGACTAGGCATTGAAAGAGCGCATGGGCTTCCGAGGCACGGGTCCCTGTAGAGGGTATTGGTGCGAGGAATGGCGCTGACGTGTGAGGCTTCGTCCAGTCGGATTGGTGGGCAGCCCACGAGATGTCGTTGGAGCGTGGGCTCGACCAGGCATAGCTGCAGCCGTCTGCGCCATATCTGCAAACTTGTGCACAGCCCGCTGTGCCTGTATCAGGAGATGCCCGGAACACAGGGTTTGTTCAGCGTTGAGGCCGAACTTGTTTGCAGAATGGCTTGAAGACATCGTCATTTTCCCGCTCAGTGAAGGCACTGCGACTGCAACCTCCAGAGCTTGTGGATGACGCTGTGCCCGGTTCCCAGCGTGCACTCCACAACACTGAGAGGATATGGCGATCGCATGCAGCTCAGGCGACGGATCCTCGCTGCCATGAACAGGTGAGCCTCCTGCCGACTCCTGCGGTTGCGGTAGAGACTCGGTGCCTGAGTGGCAGATGCAGGTTGGACCTGATGAGCACGTCCAAGTGCAGCCCCCCGAATTGTACCGAGCGGAAGCCCAAGGCACATCGAAGCACAGGAGCACCGGCTGACTGTACGACCTCATCAACTCAGGTATCTGCGCGCCAATGTCACGTCTCCCACGAATCGAGCGCTGTCCAGAGAGTTGGCCACGCAGTCGATTGTCCAAGACCCAGGATGGCAGTGTTTTTGGCCTCTCGTTTTGACCTGCCCCACTGAACAACCTCGCTTGAGGTCCTGCTGCAAAATGTCCTTCCCTCAGCGACAAGCCAGGCTGAGCTCGGAGCCCCGGAGGCGGTGGAAGGTATCGGCCCCTCGAGAGTGCATGAAACGGTGTCGTGTTATGGATTCCCCGCTCAGATCTGCATCGGTGCCGCACACCAGAGGGCTTGGGGTTTGGAGGTTTGAGGGTTTCTCTCCCACGCTCGGGCTGTTTGCGATAACGTCACAGGGACCGAGCCCTTTGGGGCCGCGATCCTCGTGACAGTCCTCGTTTTCGGAGGATGGGATCGTCGCCGCGATGTAAAACTAACAATAGACGCTGGGATTGAACCTCTTGGTGTCATATCTCCCCTGACGCTCGCAAGTTTGCGATGTGCAGTTGCATGATTGGTTTCGTTTTTGCGGGGGCGGGTTGCGGACATGGGTCGCACCGGAACAGAACCCAGCACGGTGGAGGAGGCGACAGGTGTCAATGCCATGATCTGCATGTGAGCCAGAGCGAAGGCTACACAGCGACAGTGGCACCATCGGCAACGGAAAAAAGGGACAACTGCTACCGCTACCTCTAGTGTAGCAACATGTAGTAACAATCGCAAGCAGGATGACAATGCTACTGGCAAGTAACTGCAAGCATACTTTTGTAGGTTTGCTAGCTGCTCAGCAGCCAATCCAATGTAATCACAGCATGCGCAGCATGCAACGAGCCAGCCAAGATTACAGCTTCTGCTTTGTGGAATGCTGGAGCAAACACAACGCTTTGACTTAAGCTTGGAGAGAGGCCAGCGAACGCCACAGGCACCACCTCACAGGGGAGGGAGAGAAAGAAGCCGCGAGATCGGGAACCCAAGGCCCCAGGTTCCGCGCAACTGCAAGGCGAGGAGCGGAAGGGGATGTCGTGAATTGGGGGGCGCAGGCCCTGCATCATATACGTGGTCCTTGGACGGGGCTCCGATGCATCACGGCCTGATCCGTTACAAACGATCCGATTAATCAGTGGGTCTACCCTTGGAAGCAAAACGGCTGCAAGCCTTGTTTCGGCGATTTCTGCTTTCAAACGAAATGCAGCCACGTGGGCACAAGGCAGGCAGCACACTGAAAGCATTGTCTCAAGCTGACTGCCTTTAGACGTGTCCAGTTCCTCTGCATTTATTTCTCCTCGCCAGCACTCCTTCCTGCCGCCACTAAGCACCTCAACCTTCTGCCGCTTTCCAACGCCGGCACCTTGGGCGATGCGAAGGGCAGTGCAGCTTCAGCAGAGTTTAGGCTATTCCTTGTGGCGATAGCGGCAATCTTGCTTCTGGGTGTGGGTGCTAAGGTCAAGACCATCGCAGTGGTGGGTCCGGGCCTAGAAGGCAGTGTTTGTTTCCTGGAGCAAATCGAGCATCCTGGCGAGGACTCGCTCTAGGGTGAGAAGAAGTCATAGCCGCAATGTGAGAGTCAGAGCAGTTCTGCTGGTGTGAGGTGCTGCCACTGTGGCGCGGTCGCAGCCTCAGATGCATTTGTGTGTTTCCTGGTGCGGAGGTGCTGCGTTGCGTTGCTGCGGTTTGGGCCCAAGGCCCTACGATCCGAGCGGGAAAGACCAAGGTGCGAATGCCTGGGCCGGGCATCTCAGTAGAGCTAGCGTGAAAGGGTAGGATGTGTTCTTGTCACTAGACCTGGGAAGGGGAGGTTGGAAATGTTTGTTTTGTAACTAGGGCCTGGGGAAATTTCGGAAAAAGTTTTTGATCAGGAAAAACTGATAGTAGGAAGTCCAGTGTTTGACTTCAGCGTTTCCCATTCTTTGGAGGGAAAGTTTAGGGAATGTTTATCCACGAAAATGAGCAGCATTCAGTGATTTCTTCGTTCCCACGTGGAAGCCTAATCTTTCGCGCAGAAACTTCGAAATTCGTGATTCCCCAAAACCCCTCTGGGGTTGGGTTCTCCTTTAGATTTTCCAACCGCGTGGTCCGCGGTACGGGGGTGCGACGCGGGGCGGGATCGGCCGGGTTCCACCGGCCGGCTCGCGATACGAGGTGCACGCGGTGTGGCAGCAAGATGCCGCTGAAGTACGCTCCAATTGGAAAACACAAAACGCTCGTGTCACTGCTCGCGAGATTTGCTTTTTGGATGGTTTTTGGGTTGACCTTGTGTTTTTTGAATGGTGGTGGGGGTGTTGAATGGTGGTGGGGGTGTTGAATGGTGGTGGTGGTGGTGGTGGTGTGGTGGTATTCTGCTGTTTGTTGGTCGGTGCGGTTGCATGTTGTTTTTTCGTTTCGGGGTTTGCCTAAGCAAGACCTAAGCAAGCAAGCTAAGCAAGCTCATGCAGGCACGCAGGCAGGCAGGGCACTTGTATCATTTGGCTACAGAACAGCCCGCACAGAAAGCCGGCCCGCCCGAATCCGCCCCACCTAGAAGCACCTTCCGTGGCCAGTGACCGCTGGTGTTGCAAGAGCAATGGATGCATGTTGCGCACTGTGCGATGAGGCCATTGGCGATTACTATTCCGGGGGTGGAAGCCATGAGCTCATCTCACCTGCAACAACGAATCGCCCTGCATCTTTGAAGCGTCGATAGGTGGCCACACGGTTGCCAGCAATGTCCAGCTCTGAGGGTGCTGTCGTGCATGGACAATAAGTGTCATACTGATACTATCATATATTCAAACTATGCCCAGCTACAGCACCTCTTCTGAGACGAGGTGGTGACTCCCTTGGAAGGCATACAGAGGCCGGACTCACAAGCTTGCCGCCAGCATGGGCTAGCTAGTGGTGATTAGTCGATGCTATAGATCGAGTAGGTGTAGATTCCAGGGTATAAAGACTGTCTGGTGGATCTCGTCGGTCTGTGGGATATTTTATGCGTCTTTTTGGGTTGGGGTCCGACAGTCCACCCCGCAATTCTTGGCTCTAAGCGGGCTGCAATCTCACATCCCTCTTCCGGTACATATTTCCGCGGTCTTTCACCTGAAGGCTCGGCCGACATCAGCTTGACTCGAGTGCGGCATAAATGCTTTGTCTGAAACTTGCCGCAGCATGGCGATCCGCCTCTTCCTGGCCTCATGCCTTATCCGTTTCGCCGCTTGCTTCGAGGCGACAGCTGGGATTGGGGCGTGCGGGGCGAGGGCTAGGGGTTGAGCGGTGTTTCCAGGATGAGGACCTCTTTGCAGAGAGCATCAATACCGAGTTGCTGCAGGCCACCGTGCGACGTTCCAGGGTTCCATGTGCCTCATGTTTGATTTGCGCTTTGAGAACTCAAGGTGAAGATAGAGCTCTCGAAGAATGTGTCTCCTGGCTCGAGTTGCCCTGTCCGTTTCCAGCTGCTGTGGAACAGCGCGAATTTCGCTAGGCTTGACACTAGTCGGTCCACGAGGGAGGGGTCAACTGGAGCCTCGCCTGATGCATCAGCTGACCAGCTGCTGAATCTTGATTTCAACGGGGATATCTTCTGGAGCCTGTGCCGAGGAAAATCTGATGACGCAGCTTGTCCGAAATAAGTATTGCTGAAGTTGTCGTGTCGGTCTAAGTCGCACCAGGTGGAAGCTGACAGCACCTGCGCAGACCACTGCAAGTATGTTGGATCCGCGCTGTGGCAGTACGACCCCGACTGCCAGGGCTGCAAAGCATCTCTATTGCAGGTGAAGGATTGCATGGACTACTGCAAGCATGAGCCTTCGACGGTCTGGCAATATGATGCCAACTGTGCCTCCTGCACAGTGTTGGCTCAGAGCAGCCCAAGCAACAGCCAGAGCAGCGACAGAGAACGTGTCGGATGTGCAGACTACTGCAAGTACGTTGGCACGTCAGTGCGCCAGAACGTGCCCGACTGCAAAGATTGCTCCGCGGCTCTGGTAGAGGAGCATGCTTCGCAGCATCCGTGTGCAAGCTGGTGCCAGTATGAGGGCCCGGCCGTCTGGCAGTATGATCCAAACTGTGGGGGGTGTTACGAGCAGCCGATACCACTGTTGAACAGGTCAGTGAGCTGCTTCAACTACTGCCAGTATGTTGGATCTGCAGTTTGGCAGTACAACCCAGACTGCCGAGGCTGTGCAGCACCATACCTCTTGCAGGCAAACCAGGGTAGCAGGTGTCAGTCCTACTGTCAGCATGAGCCGTCGATAGCCTGGCAGTATGATGCCAACTGCCAGGACTGCAAGCCAACCTCCTTTACTCAAGAATTGGCCACTGCTGCAGCACAGGCAAGTGGCGCCTGCGCGGACTACTGCAAGCATGTTGGATCCGCGCTGTGGCAGTACGACCCCGACTGCCAGGGCTGCAAAGCATCTCTATTGCAGGTGAAGGATTGCATGGACTACTGCAAGCATGAGCCTTCAACGGTCTGGCAATATGATGCCAACTGCGCCTCCTGCACAGTGTTGGCTCAGAGCAGCCCAAGCAACAGCCAGAGCAGCGACAAAGAACGGGTCGGATGTGCAGACTACTGCAAGTACGTTGGGGCTGCCGTGCAGCAGTTCAATCCAGATTGCAAGGATTGCACGGCATCCTTCGCACAGAAATCCAACTCTTCCATACCCTCCTGCAGCGAGTACTGCCAAAAAGAACCGTCAGGATTATGGCCGTACGATGCCAAGTGCCAGGATTGCGCGTTGGTGTCGACGGCAGAGGCTGGCAGCAAGGAATCCGACAAATGCGAGGCAAGTGGGCTGCAGGATGCAAACTCAACTTGCAGCAACTATAGTTGCGATTAGTCAGTCCTCGCACTGGGCTACTCCAATTCTGCACTCCTGTTCCTCCCGCTCTGCTTCTACTACCACCGCCACCACTACTACTGCTACTGCTACTGCTACAGGACATATACGACTGGCACTGAGAGTACAAGTATTAGTGATTATTAGTGCTACTACTACTGTGACTACTACGACTGGGACAGCACAGTGGGTGACAAAAAGGGACAGCACTGCGGGGCCACAAGAATCAACGGGTCCAAGAAGCCAACTTCACCCAATTCAAGAAACAACACGAAGGTAAGGATCAACTCAGAAGCTGACATCAACTGTGAGTTGATCCTTACTATTGTGTTGTTCTAGAACTGGGTGAAGTTGGCTTCTTGGACCCGTTTGACTCTTGTGACCCTGCAGTGCTGTCCTAGGCGTGCCAGGTGGGTGACACAAACTACGACGACGACGACTATTACGACTACGACTACGACTACTGGGACGACGACGGCTGCTACTACTGCGTGCTGTTCTGCTGCTACTGATGCCTGCCTGCATGTTGCAAAGGCCAGCCGGAGTTGTCTTGTGATAGTTTGTTATGGATTTGTGCTGCGCCCATTTCCACTGCTTGAATACTGCACTCTGTTCAGGATCACTGCAAGTTTGTCGGGGCGGCGGTGTGGCAGCATGACCCTGCCTGCCGGGGCTGCAAGACTTCCGAGCTGCTGGCTTGGGCCCCAGCCCGCATTGAGGAGGGAGATTGCCAAGCCCACTGCAAGCGCCTTGGTGAAATTTGGAAGCCCAAATGTGCACTCAATCAACTCACTCCAATGCTGCTCCGCTCTTGGAACATGGCCAACTCTCAGGTACCAGGGAGCTGCTGTGTGGAAAGACGATGCCGCCTGCAGCGGATGTTTCCACGCCCTGCTGCAGGAGACTCTAGATGCCCTGGCAGAGATCATCATCATGCCTGTCCCTCCTCCTGCTTCATAATTCGTTAGCCTCATCCTCTGGTCAGTCATCTTCACATCGACATCGGGCAGAATCAGACACTTCACCTCCTTCCGCCGGTCATCATCCTCAGCCTCGTCCCATCTCATTGTTTTGTGATTCACCCCAGTTTATATCATGTGTCACATTAGTCATAATTGTCATTATGACCGGTATCTGAGAAATCGCGATCGCCAACACCGTAGCCATGACACGCGACCAATTCCAACATGTTTTTGTATTCTTGAGTACCATCGCATACCGGCGCCATCTCAACCATCTTCCCTGTCTCCATGTCCGTCTTCATTTTCTTCTTCGGCTTCCCCGTTTCATCAGCATCGCCGTTGCCATACTCGCAGCCCCGGGCATACCAGCATCGTCACCACGAGATCCCTCAGCGACTACATTCACTACATACCCGTTTGTTTCACCATGATCAGCAGCGTCACCTCCACCTTGACCTCCGCCGCACGTAGCATCGATACCATCACGATCAGAATGGTCGTCCTAGCCCTGAGTGGCCGCAGCTGTTTCCCGAACCAATTTCATTTTCCTCTTGTGCAGTGAGCTTATTAATTCTACTGCTCAGTACGATGTCCAGATGCACTGCGCAGCACGCTGGCAGGAGAAGCTGCGGAACAATGGAACCAAAAGCGAGAAACTTGAGCCAAATGGAAGCCGTAGGTTTTTATTAGTTTTCCGAGTTCGTCCATCCTGGCCATAGCGTGGCCTCTGTCAACCTCAGCTCTGTAAACAGGGCCATGAGCCATGTGGAGCCCGAGGTGCACCACCATTACCGGCGGAACTTGCATGTTCCACAACTGCGACTATACTCGAGGCCCCACAGAATGCAACTGGGCACGGCTTTGCGTTTGTCCGCAAAACTTTTGTGTCTTGACTGCACTCGCATGATGGACAGTTTTCTCCCTTTGCGGTATTGTTTTTCCTTGACTCTTGAACCGAGGTTCGCAGAATGGTGTCTGCGTCTTCAACCTGAATAGTGTGATGGGGTGATGGGGTTATCTGGGAAATATGGCGGATAAGACCGCAATGAGCCAAAAGCTGTGCGCGGAGAGTGTTTGAGCAAGGAGCGTATGCGACAAGTGCTTCTTCCTTGCTCATGCTACCTTTGACACAGGCATGTGTATGGTTATGCAGTTATGCAGGAATATGCAGGAACATCCAACTGTATGTGTGTACGTGCTTGCCATAATACATATACATAGGTAGCATGTGGGGCATATGTATGAACCGCGTGGAATGGAAAACAGGCAGCAGTCGTCCTTGTGTCATTGCTGAGCACGTGGTTGTGCAGGCCGGAAATAGCCGTTGTGGTCGGAGTGGCAGTAGTGTCGTCGTCGTAAGGGTTGTAGTAGTAGTAGTAGTAGTAGTAGTCGTCGTAGCAGTAGTAGTAGTAGTAGTAGCAGTAGCAGACGCAGGAGGAGGAGGAGGAGGAGTAGTAGTGGCAGCAGCAGTAGTACGTAGTACTGGTATGTACTAGTACTAGCACTAGTAAGTAGTCGTCGTCGTAGTCGCAGTCATAGCAGTCGTAGTGGCTGCTGTTGTTGTCGTTAGTGTTAGTGGTCGTCGGGAACTTGACCAGCTGAGTCTATCTTCTGACATGGAGAGCCTTTTCAATGCCGTTCGTCGTGCCCTTGCCTGCAGTGAAGAGCCTGATAGTCCAGACAAGTGTCGTACACAAGTACTACAGGTGAGCTTCAACAGGCATCACTCAAGCGGGGTCTGAGAGAAACACGCAGAAACCGCAAAGAATTGCTCTGATGCGGTTGAGAGCGCCTGCATCGACCAGAATCCGGTCCTTCGAGTTCCAGCTTCTGAAACTCCAAGACGTAGAACATTTCCAAACACCGGCGTAGGGCAGTTCTGCTCTCTGTCGGGCAGGCGCGCGCAGCAACAGGGAATCACGGTGGCCGATGCTTGTGTTCAGCATATATAGGTTTGGCAGTTTCCAGCCGGGACCCATCCACTTCTCTGTATGGCAGGTGCTGTCGTCGACAACCAACGACCCAACATCAGCCCTTCAAGTTGCGAAGCAGGCGATGCACCGATGCAAGCATGCAAGCATGGGCGTGTCTGCCCTCGATGTCTGTGCAGAGCGCTGGCCAGGCCGATGTCACCATCATCGTAGCAGCGACCACATGTGGGGAGAGCGCCGATCGGCTAAACCTCTCCTTGGACGGAGGCTCGCGCCGCCCTTCCCCTTCTGCGCAGGGTGCGTCGACTTTGACAGTTAGAGAGGAGCTGACGATCTCATCGCCACTGTTTCGGCCGCTGCAAAGCCCGAGCCCCGAGCCTCTTTGGTGGCCTCCCGTTGGTGGCTTTGTGTTTGGGCTTGGCAGGCGGACGGTGGTTCTCGTCCAAGCTCCAGGAGCGAAGGTCTCAGACGCTCAAAGACTCAAAGCGGCACCGCGGTAGCAAGCACTGGCTCTTGCCTCAGGCTGTCGTCATGCCATGGAAAAAGTCCGTTGACGCTATCCTCGTTCTATTTCTTGGGGGTGAGGCTCTGGTGCAGCACTGGTTCTGACACGGCCCATCCTAAGTGCACATAGCGAGTGCCAGGAAACCGGCAGTGCTTGGGGACGAATCCTGCAAGAAGCACAGTCGTTGTTGCAGGGGAGATTTGACAGTGAGCCGATGCTTCACCACAAACGCTTTGGAGTCTTCCCAGGTTTGGTGACGAGGCACTGCATCTTCATATTTTGCCTTTGCCTTCAGCCGTGTCCTGGCCAAGAGGCTCCTAGTGGCCGGCTCCCGATCATGATGCCAGAGACCGAGGCAGACTCCATCCCGCCAGGGCCTGAGAAGACCTCTGGAATGGGCCGTGTTCGGTAGGTTTTTTCGCGTGTAGCTCTGGCCGAGGCCGAGCAAAGCGCTGTGGGGCGCCCATGGATTTTGCTTTTTTGGCGGTGATGTTATTTGGTCAACGACAGGATCGTGGACTACACCGAAGGACTGCGGACAAGCTACAGGACCTGCAGTGCAGTGTAGGTGAAGAGGCGGAGAGCTTGGAACCCTGGCCCTGAAGGAACCCGAACTTCACGGCGGCATTTCCTTTCGGACATGGTCTGACGTACACGTCCTTTGAGCCGCTCAGCTACGAGCTTCGCCGGACGTTTGTTTGGACTTCGGGTACCGCTCAGGTACAGGGATCCCATCCTGGGGAACTGCAGCCTGGAGGTCTTCCTGCAAACCTGGTGCTGCGGGGGTATGTTCCCTGGCCGCGACATGCTGCAGGCTGCGGCTCCTGTGGATGTGGGACCCCAAGGTTTCTGTCCCCACGATCGAACAGCAGAGGGCCGTACATGCCCAAGGCCTTCGTGTGCCTGCGCCTGGCGGTTGACAACGTAGGTCTCCGGGCAGGCAGGGCTGCTCGGCGCTTGCACCTCTGTGACACTGCGATCCTCGACAGGCCGGACAGTGGTCCAGAGCTACTTGGAGATGCCAGCTCAGGCCCGCAGTGTCGAGCATCGTCTTTTGATTCGGGTGGGTTCTACCAGACACACCGTGCAGGGATTACCAGTGAATTTTCTGAACGCAGCGTGAGGCCGGCTATCCCACTCCAATCTTGAGGGGATTTCGGCTGCCTGGCTGCATGCTTCGCGTCCTCTGAAACCCAGAGTGAAGAAAATGGGCTCCTGGCCACTGCCATCTGTGGAGCATCATGCGCATTGCACATCTCGTGAAGGTTTGCAGCTGATAGTACTAGTCTTGTGCTCCTTTTGAAATACTCTGCGGCAGGCCTCCTGCAAGTCCAACAGCCTATATAAGTTACAAAAAAATCCAGTTCCTTGGGCCCCTTGCCCTAGGCTTTTCAACCTGCTGTAAGTTTTTATGTCAAACGAGCACCGCAATCTCGTTGACCTTGTTGTTATTTCCAAGCCCTTGTGACGACCTTCTAGCCCAAAGGGTTTAAAAGGTTCAAGGTTCAAGGGGCAGGACGGGGTGTGCAGGGTCGTCCAAGATGGTGCGATCTCAGGTTCACGGTTTTGATGGTAAGTGCTATACATTGCTTTTTGAAACGTTATTGTCATTTCATTTTTTTACAGAAATCAATGGTTGGAACTGCTACTGACTGCTATAAGGAAGACGGGCATGATTCCCGCTGGCAGCTCTGAGTCGGTGCTGCTTCACTTCTCGGCCGCTTTTCTTCTCTTTGGGCAGTGGCTGGTTTGGATCCTGAGAGGGTAGGACTCCCTGGGACTTTATTGTTATGTTAAGAGGCCTTGGGGGTTTCGGGGTTGAGGTTCGGGATTGGGTTTCGAAGGCTCTGGACTCAGATCTGGGTACTTCGGGACAGGAGCCTGTCACATCAAAGGTGCTTTCGAGAAAAGTCTTGAGCCGGATCAGAGCGGTTAACAGCCGTTTGTGTTGGTCGGACTGCCGTTGGCATGTGTATTGCATTCGGCTGTCGGAATTTGCATTGGCATTGGGTCCTTGTGACTGTTGGTGATGTTCAGTGTTGAGTGTTGCACGTTCGCGCGTTGCCGTTTGCGATGGTGTTCTCCATGTAGCCATCACTCTTGCTGCTAACTGCTGCTGGCAGTGATGCTGCCACTGGTGGTAGTCTTTCCCGCGACAGCAATCGCTGCAGTGCCAGTGCCTGATCATGATCATGCCTGATCAGCATTTCCACGTTCAGAGTTTGGTAGGAGAAGAAAAGGTGCAAGGTGTTCGGAGTCCCGGGAGGGTGAGGCCGTTTTATTTTAGATTGCCGCCTGTCGCCACAGCCGAGGCGCGGGATCTGTCATTCTATGAACCTCTGTTTCAGCGGTGGCCTGGGTCTCGGTCGCGCTATTTGTGCTTGTTCCCGAGACCTCTTAGGGGCGCTCGGCTTCCAAAACAGCTTTCGAAGCTCTTGCAGTTTGAAGGTGCTGTAGGATGGAGAGGGCGCTGCTTTCATGCGGGTTTCGAGAAGTTCACCATAATCTGTTCAAGCATTCATGATGAGCGTGGAGAAGGGCCGGCGAGTTTTTCGGCTGATAGTCATAAGGGCTCCTCACAAAGACAATGACAACAAGACTTGCGAAGAATTGCCCATGTGGATTCGCGGAGCGATTAAGATATGGAATTCCCAGGGCGACGAGTGTGGCTGCTGAGGGCAAAGGCAGAAGGTTGCTAAGCCCCATGCTGGTTTCGTGCTTTTCACCGTCACTCTCACTCTCTGAAGACGGTTGATCCAGCTCCGAGTCCCAGCTGTGTTTCATCCCTTGAGCCTTGGGAGATACTGAGGAGGTCAAAGTAGGCAGGGGGCAAGGCTCCCACATGGCAGTTTGTCACTTCGGCTGGCCCTTGAGGGTGTGGCTCCCTCCTAGGATTATGCCTGGCAGTCTTCGCGCTCTAGTGGGGGAGCTGGCGCCCCAGAGAACAGAATGTGGCTTCGGAAGGAGGAGTGCAAGGGGGGAACGTTCGCCTTTGAGTGGATTTGAAACGGAGGTCTTCCAGAGACATCAGGCTGAGCATCCCGATGAGGATTCCCCAAGCTGCAGGCTGGCGCAGCAAGCTTGTCTCCAGTGGTGCCTACTGGGAGTTGCGGTAGACTGAAAGAAAGATGCAGCCGCAGCACTACCACCATCGGGACGTTCTGTTTCCACTACTAACTACGGACGATGGTCAGGCGGAAGATGATGGTGCGGATGCTGACAATGATGTTGCTGACGCCGAGTTCTGATGCTGATGCTCAAGATTTTTTGCTGCTGCTGCCGCTGCCGCTGCTTGCGACGATCATGATCATGAAGATGGTTGCCAGCTTTCCATCTTTCAGGCGGTTCCCCCAATCCGTCGCGTCAGTGGGCCGGGGTCCCAGTTGGCTTCTGGCCATGGAGCTAGAACCCTTGTGGCATGAAGTGACGCTCGCGAAACTTCTCCCGCGGCGACATGCATTGCCAGCGATACGTAAAACAATCGTTCTCATACCACTAGGAGAGAGCCAGCAACTGGTTCAGTGGCGGTGCCAGCAACAACAGCCAGAACTGGACTCGCAATTGTTTTGGTGCGCCAACAAGGCACCAACCGTGTCAGCAGTGTTGGCAGCGACGATAAGCTTGTGCTTGTCGATTGCCGTACCTCTCATACCAGCATTAAGGAACTACGTCAGGTTCGTAGCGGGTTCATCCTGTTTATGTTCAGTCGGCATGGCCACAAGTATCAGAGGGACGATGTGCCTTGTTGGTGCCGCGACGACAATGCCCGTGAGGATGATGGTGGTAGTGGCAAGAAGACAGCGACAATCACAAGAACAGTCACTATTGCTCTGGCAAAATTGAACATGGGTTCAACTCAGCGAGGGCAATGTTGTGCAGCAGCGACAAGTTGATAGCAATGGCACACCAGTGGTGGTGATGGTGTTGAGAAAGGCGATCTTGGTCGACGAGACAACGATGAGCGCCGCAGTCGTCGTACAAACAGGAACAGCAGCAGGAACAGTAATCACGGTCGTCTTGGACATGTGCAATAGAACAGTACTCTTAATTACTGATGCTGATGCCGAGACCGCTTTCTGGTGGCTCATCGCCGTCCTCGCAGCCATCGCGTTGATCGTCCCTTTTATCTTCTATGCCGTGATGAGGCGGGCTGGGCACGAACATGGCCAGGAAGGGGAGTGTGCTTAGCAGCCCTAGCGTTGACGGATTGAGGATGATCCCTGCAATCCTGTGCTTCGCATCGGCCATCACCGCCAGCACATGCACCGCCTGCTCTCTCACGAAGCTGTAGCTAGAGCGGAGTCTGGAAACCGTTGCAAGGCATGAGGTGCGGGCGGCATAACGAGTCAACATGTCTTGTGGTTTGACAGTGGCAGCGGCAGCAGTCGTCTCATCGTCGGGACACTGGCAGCAGGTGAAGAGAAGCATAGACCAGACGATTCTGCTAGATGCGAAGAGGAGAGAGAGGGAAGAGCAGCCTTCACCGTGTCAGGCGAAGACCGGATGGGACGGTCGAGGATTCCAGCAGCGAGCTGTCCGAGTTCAGCGGGTGAAAAAATGCTGCGATGGACAAAGCTTGCACCACGCCCCCTCTTAAACTATTTTTGCTGGCCTTGGTCGCCATTCTTCACCCAGACGCGCAGAAAGACAAGAAAGCATAAAAGGGCATAACACCTCAGACGATTGATCGTTGCAGCCAGGCTCAGCTAGGCTACCTACACCTATGGACATTTGGCACACCGCTTCACAGCGAAGCCTGGCGTTCCATGCACGGTCCTGCCCCATTTTCGCGTACAAGGTTGTTTCAGCTGTTGTTTCCACAAGTGGTTCAGCTCTTGAGCATGGGACTGCAGATGGACTTCAGGCAAGTTATTGCTCTGCGGCTCCCTTATCACAGGTCCGTCTCGGTGTCGCTGTGAGGTAAAGGAGCAGGCATTGCAATGCACAAGCGGTGCGGGCCCTCAGATAGCGAGGACGAGAGCCCGACCCTCAGAGGTGAAGACCTTGAATCGGCGGAGCATTGCGTGTCAGACCTGTCGCGTGACCTTGCGGGGTATTCTCGGGAGGCACCGAGCGGAAGAGGGCCCGACTTCAGCGAGCCCTGGCGGCGGGCACCTTCCCCGAGGGATCGGACCCGTTCCCAGAGCTTGGCTCTCAGCAGCAACGTCGTGCAAGCGCTCGGACTGCATCGTGTTTTGCTTCATCCGTTGCGTGAAGGTCGGCCCTAGCTCTTAGCTGTGGATCCTGTGGAGCCCTCAGCATGTTCAGGAGTGCTCATGCTTCGCGCGCTTCGCGCTTCGCACCACCACCCACAGCTTGGCAGCGTGCCATCTCACGTACTCGGCCGCAGCTGATTGCCAGCACTTCCTAGTTGAAGTGTACAGGCCAAGGCGAAGCCATGGCGACCTTTCCCAAAACAGCTAACAAGATGCAGCCCCTGCAGGCGCCGGGGCCGATGCAACAGCCCATGCTGCCACAGCAGCCGATGCAGTCCATGCACGGGATGCAGCAGCCGCAAGCAATGCAGCAGGCACCGCCCACAAAGAAGGCGTGGCACAAATTTTCCTTGGTGAATAGTTGCAGTACTTAGTGAGAGGGTCATTCCAGACAATCCTCTGTGCAGGATCTCTCGTCTTAGCACTCTGCCAACTTGGTGGGGAACACTGAAGGCATGTGTAACAGTCAAAGGCGTACAACTAAAGATGAGGTTTGGGACACGTGCTGAATGCATTCGCTGCCTCCTGTGCGTGCCAGCACTGCTGACATCTCACCCACGTCGACTTCTGCAAACCCTACACGGAACACCTGAACAACCAACTTGCACTATGTCCTGCAAAGAATGTGCCGTTTGTATGGGATCTTTGAAATCTAACGGTTCCCACCAAACAAGTGTCGTTTAGGCAACTGCCGCCCCCTTTCCGCATCACAGTAGCTGGCTTCGGGCGCCGAATTCCCGAGTGTGACCAGGCTAAGATAATTGAGTGGCTGCAATTCTGCCTGCGGTATCCAGAGTCGCAAGCTGCAAACACATCGACCATGTTTCCTTTCGCGTCACAGCAGTCCTTCACCAAAAGCACTGTAGTGTCCTCGAGCACTCAGAGGTTGTCGTTGCTCACCTGCTGACTTTTCAAGACTTTAGAAGAGGCAAGCCTCCACACACTTGGAAAGGCATAGTTAGTATCCCGACTTACCCACTTCCTGAAGTTGGAAACTGCCGAATTGCCGACTGAATTCTGCACGCTGCGGCAGGCCTTCTCCAGACCGTTTTTCAAGGAGGACTCTTCTGCCTGTGCAGTGCGAACTCCGGAGCGCCCAAGAGCAAAATTCCTTAGGGCAGTGCAATTCGTGACGTAGTAGTGATGCTCTCAGATCGGAGCTAGCGCTGACTTGGGTCAAGGTCCTTGCTTCAGTGTGCTGGACCGATTGGTGTTGATGATTCGGCTGGCTTGTAGACCTCAAGCTGCCAGAACATTGAACTACAGGTTCTTGGGAGAGTCAGCAGCCAGCAGTTGGATACGGGGTCGAAGTTGGGGGGCGTGTGAGGACCTCCAGGCAGACCGCTACAAGACGTCGCACGAGTTCTGCTTGGACACCGGTCTTCTGAATGGGTTTTGTCGTCGTGGACGACGCCGGCTGCAAGAGATCGAAGAAGCCACGAAGCTGGGCACAAACAGCATAAGGAGCCCCGAGCTAACATGTCTATAATTGGTATGGGGTGCAAGTTTGAAGTCCAGTTTTAGCAGGACGAGAAAGCCGGGAAAGGCCTGCTTTTAAGTGGGTTTGATCTGCACATTTCGACTTGCAGTCGCGGCCCACATCCTTTCATCGATGTGTGGGGGAGCGGCATAAGCATGGGTGAGGGAAGGGCATGGCGATCTGAGCATGGAGCCGCGCACAGCAATGCGGATGCGGACGCGGACGCGCAGAGCAGCGCGTCGTCGAAATGCGGGCATGCCTGTTTGCAAATGTTTCCATCACGTGTTTCCCCTTGCATCCATGTGGCGACGGAGCGGTGCTTACCACTCCCGAGGAATGCCACCGTGAAGCTTGACCGTGGCCGTGGCGTGCTGAAGGCATTTGGCACCATAGAAGCCATCCAGCAAGTGCAGCAGCAGCTGGAAAGCATGATGGGCCCTCGCAAAGAGATCTCGCGTGCCGCGTGGGCTGAGCTTATGCGCACGAGGACCCAGGTATGATGTGGCATGATGTCCTTCTCGATGCCTGCCTTTCCTGAAATTTCATCGCTGTTTGGGACCCCTGGCAGGACAGGGCAAGAAGATGAAGTGGCGTTGCAGCGGATACAGAATCAGAGCGGCTGCCGGTTGCACATCGAGCGATCCAGGTCTGAAGTGAGGCTGTTTGGTTCCAAAGAAGCCGCTGCAGTGGCAGACCGGCTTTTGGACGACTTTCAAAAAATGTGCATGGAGCGGCTCGTCCCATGCCCCAACAGCAGCAAGTTGGACTTGGACCGCCTCAACGAGATGGCGCAGGCCAGCGGAAGTACTGACTGAGCTGTGACATACTGTGACGGTTTGAGAGGTTGCAAACAAGCGGTGACCAGGTCCTGTGCGTCACGTTTCGGCTGGAAGAAAACGTGATCTTCATCCTTGGGTTGGAAGAGGTGGTGGTGGCCGCAGCGCAGGAGTTGGGCAAGTACCTCTCCAACCCCGAAGCTTACAGAGCACCAGAAGCAACGGATGCATGTGCGAAAATCTCCTCGAAGGTGCCTCGGCCGAGAGCGAGAGAGAGATAGAGGGAGACGGGGAACAGGTTTTGGTGGGCTTGAAGCCCGGTGGACTTGATCGTCCCCCACGTCTGGTAGAGAGGGCTAGGCGTTGAAGAAGAATTTTGGGCATGCTTTCGCGCACCGGGAAGGGGCCCTGGCTTTTCTGTTGCCACAAGAAGAGAAGATAGAGAAGGGAAGCATTGTGGAGAAAGGCGCGAGGTGGAGCAGGGAGATGCTCTTGGGAATTCCGGCTTTGCTCGCAGCTCTTCGCAGGCACAGGCGGTACTCCTTCCTCCGCGATTTGTTCGTGGCATGTGCGGTAAGACGGTTGTGTGCGGTGCATGTTACGAATGGTCTGCTTTGTGTTTGTGTGTGTGCGAGGGGTAGACTTGAGTTTGAAGAGAGGCAGTGAGTTCGCGAGGCTCGGGTTCTGTGGGGTAATTAATGTTGGCTTCTATTTAATAACCCCCCCCCCCCCCATGAGGTTGTCTTGCACGGGGGTCTCTTGGGGCAGGGTCTGGGTTGGGGGGTGGCATTAATACTACTTGCTATCCTACTTGACAGCGAGCCTCCAAGTGACACCTACTTAGGGGCCTCTGTTAATGCATCTTGAAGACAGTATCGTGGTGGACCTTGCCAGGCGTGTCCGAGTGTGAGTGTCAAAAAAAATAAAGTAGTATTAGTTAGTAGTACTAGTAGTGGTAATAGTAGTACTAGTAGTGGTAATAGTAGTAGTAGTACTGATAGTAGTAGTAGTAGTAGTAGCAGTAGTAGCAGCAGTAATAGTAGTAATAGTACTAATAGTAGTAATAGTTGTAATACTAGCAATAATAGCAATAGTGGCAGCCTATGTTTTTGGGGATTTTGGGCGGGGTTTATTGTCACGCCAGTTATTCTAACCCCAGGTCCAAGATCAATTGTCTAGACCATTCTGGCTTTGGATCTCTGCGCGCTTGAAACTAGTCTTCCGCCTGGGAATCCTGGCCCCGGGAGGTTTTGTTGCTTGTCACCCGGTTCATTAAATTCAAACTAGCATTAGGTGGGCATCACCCTCGTCGTGACTGAAGAGGGCAGTGAGTGCACAACACCCTGAGATTACTGATGTCAGCGTTGATTCTCTCATTGCCGTGGCAGCAAATCAAGATGTGTGGGCTTCTCGTGGCCGTGCCTACACTTGCAGTTTGTCTCAGGCTGAGCAGCACTCCATACTCCATATCTCGGACAGCATGTGAAAGAATTTCGTTACTCCGTGGGTAGTTTGGAATCTCTCTTTGATCATGCTGTGGTCTCAAGATGGCTAGGTTTTGGCTTGGCTGGATGAGTGTGAAGGGTTTCAGGATTGGTGCTTGGGCCTGGAAGTGCAATCGTCCTCTGTTATGGCATGCATTCTACATCTGCACATGGAGCATGATTCCTTTAGCATTCGGGCGGGTCTCACACATACTCAGTATGACATGTATGCATCGTGCTTGGATCCGGTCGCGTTAGAGCTGAGCCGGGACAGGAAGCACAGCACGTGACGAGGTGTCTATGCTTTGCAACCTGGATGCCAGCCCGGGAACGACTACCGCATCGGGTGAAGTATTCGAGAGTGGCAGTGAGCTGGGAGCCGATTGGAGTCCTTCACAGGCCTCTCAGCATCAGACCGAGAGCTGTGCACGCTGTAGCAGTAGCACTTAGCATGGGTAGGGCCACTGCTGAATCCTGGTCCCGCAGGGGCGGCAGCCAGCAAATTCTCCCGGCTTCGGTGTCTTGTCCTCTACTCCTCCATGCATGGCATCGCCATCATCGTCCTATGGCAGCCCGGGAGGCCTTCCTGCCATCTGTTGCTCGCGCTGCTTGCATGGTGACACATCCGTGTGCATAGAACTGCTCCTTTCTCGATCGAGGTATGCAGCAGCCCCTGATGCCACAGCGGATGTGTGGCGATCCAGACGGACACCATTGCAATCACTGCGGAGCGCCGCGTTTCTGTGGCCATTGTGGGAACCAAATCTGGACGCTTCACTCGTCAGGCCCGTCCCCGTCTTTCCCGTCTTCCCCGTTGCACGGTTCCCAGTGACATCGCCTCGGTTTGGGCAGGCGCCCCGTTGATGCTGACGCCGGCAACTCCTCAAGTGTTGTCAATGGAGCACATGCAGATGAAGCACTTCGCGCAGCTCCAGCCCAACTATTTCCAGGTCTGTGCGCCGCAGGGTCCTCATGGTCTCGCGGCGGCACAGAGAGTGCACATCAAGTCACTTCCGAGACTCCATGCTTCATGCAGCCGCCCTTGTCACAGGTGTCATGGCAAGCATGGGACCGCTTCCAGTAGGTCGCTGAAAAGTTTGGATGTACGGTGAACATGGAGTTCTGTCGGCCCAGAGGCCAGGGTTTGCGCACGGTCGCTGCAGAGCGGGCCAGACGATGCCATTGCTCATGCCTCCTCGGATGTAGTTTGATGATCTCTTTGCCTGGAGGCCAAGTTTTCACGGCAAACAGGGCAAGATGGTGGCTTGGAGGTTAATTGATACATGTCCACGCCTTTTGGTGAAGAGGCGACACCTCCGAGCTCAGCCGCTTTGGACTCACTGCCCCAAGGAGCCCACATCTGCCTCCAGCGATTTATTTTTAACCCGTCGCTGGCAAGCACGAGATCTGCAAATGACCTGAGCCTAGAATACAGTTCCAGACATTTGCGTCAACAGTCCATTCTGCTCGTGTTGATGCTTCTGAATTCCGAATCCGCGTTCTTCCCTCGCCCAGGAGATTTTTCTGCCGCTTCACAGTTTGAGGCCCCTTCCGCTGCAGAATTTTTTGTAACGCCGGCCAGGTTCCTCTCAGAGGAACTTGGGCCCTCTGGAGTTTAAAGGACACGGTGCCTTCCAAAGCTGACGCGTGCTGCCTGTTTTCCGTACTTCTAGGGTTTAGGGAGGTTTATCTAGGGATATATTGTTTAGGACTGCTGGAGCACTCCATTCTTCCGAGAAGCGAAGGACGGCAGGGAAAAGCAGCATGCACAGGAGGAGCGTGGTAGGTTCAGGGAGTCCTGTGGCACGTAGCCAGATGCCATTTGCTTCGGTTTTCACGGAACTTTTCATCTTTTGTGGCTGGGAATCGCTCAGAGAAGACGCTCCTGTGAGCAAAAACCCGGGATCCAGAGATCTGAACTCTGAAAGAGGTCGGATCATTGGGTCGGAGGGGAAAAGGTAAGCTGTCGAATTAGGGTCGGGGCTAGCAACGCAGAACAGAGAGTGATCGTCATAAAGTCTAAGAAGGCTCATTTTTCGCTGTCTCTGTCGTTTTGATCGTTCTTGCATTTCGCTGTGCTTCTTTGTGTTCAGTGGTAGTTAGGACTGCCGTTATGGTAAATGATGGTGGCTAAGGGTGACGATGATGGTGATGCTGTTAACGATCATGCTGATGCATTTCTCAGTGTTGCTGCTTTTGCTTCCCGCTGCTGCTGCTGTTTCCAGCGCAGCCACCACTAGATCCACCAGTGGCCTCGAGTCAGTCAAGACCACGACAGCTACCCGCCACGACGACGACTGACCCTAGAACGTCGAAGCCTCGCCTCGAGTATGCGAGTTTCAAGAAACACTCCCTCTTCGGTGGTGGTTGCAGCAAACGTTTTGGTGTTGTCTGTGGCATTGCGCTTGGTGTCAGGTGAATAGGACGTTTCAAGCCCTCAGCTGACTACGACGACGATTTCGATCACCTGGTCTTCCTTAGCTGACTCGTTATCGCAGCTACTAGTGCTTTCGTAGTTGCTGCCGTTGGAACAAACCTGCCATTCCAGGGTGCTGCTGTCATTGCATGTATTTTGAACACACTACTTTAACTTTGTCTGCTTTCAGGCAGGAGCCAGCTCAAATGTGTAAACAAACAGTGTAAATTGACTGGTGATTTGTGCGATGACCGCCACACTACTGTTAATTGGAATCTGTATATAGAGCCCAGGTTTCCAGTGGGCAGTGATGCATCCCAGATACGCTTACTTAGCAAAGTGGTGTTCAGTCCTCGTGGATGCAAGATCTGCTCACGAATACAAGAAACTTTTGGGGTGGCACGGATGCCAAACCATGTTTGCAAGCCCAGAAAAATGAGCTGCTTGAGATTCTGCACTTGATGGCCTTGTCGCTTCGGGCTCAGATGTGCAGGGGCATGCGTTGACAGGTGCGACGCCGTTGTGGAAGACAGCCGCGAGCCAAAAGAACTCCCTGAAGGTGCTTGCAGGGTCATCTAATTCTTTATGAGCTTTCAGGTCAGGGGGTCAGATGTGGGAGTTTCGAAGAACAGAGGTCTTTCATATCTACAAATTCGGTGCTTGTGCAGCTTTTTGAGGGGTGTGGGGTTTCGTGCACCCTCGAAGGAGGAGAGCCGCGCTCCACCACGGCCTCCCTTGCGCGACTTCTCTGTCCCCTCGGCGCAAAAAAGCCGGCGCAATTCCATGCTAGATGCTGCTAGATAGCAAGCACGCACACATGTATGTGTGTGTATGTATGTATGTATGTATGCATGCATGCATGCATGCATGCATGTATGTATGTATGTATGTATGTATGTATGTATGTATGTATATATATATATATCATATGTGTATATATATATATATATCATATACAGATTATCTATATGTAGATATATATATATATACAGATTAGCTATATGTAGATATATATATATATATATATTTAGTATATAGATGTATACCCATGAGTGATGCAGGTCACACCCTTCCCCTACGACAAGCTGACAGGCATGAATTTAAGTTCTGTTGGATCTCTGTGTGTAGTCACTATGAATGTTGCATTGAGATTTCTTCTTGCACGGTTTTAAAATCTATCTCCTGCGCAGTTAACGATTAGTGAAGCAGTACCCCTCTACGAAGTGTTGAGGTATGGCATAGCCAGTGTAATAAACTCATCGTTGGGGATTGGGGAATACCTCCTGCGCAACTTCTGCAAAAATGCCATATCCTTGCCAACGAAATATATTCTAGGGGCTGCGCCCACGGGCAGCGCAGGTACAAGCCCGGAGCAAGGCCACGCACCCCCCCTCCGCCGAGCCCCGCTGATGCTGATGATGCGCGCCCTTTGCGCGCTTTCAAAACTTTGCAAAACATCGCCTCGCGCTGCCGAGCCGCCTGCGGGCGCGCCGGATGCTCATGATGCTCGCCGGCTTGCCTTGTGGGGTCCCCCGAAGCCCGCCATACCGCGGGGAATGGCTGCGAAACGAGTGCGTGTTCCGAAAGGGTTGGGGGCGAGGTCCCGCGCGGCCTGGTGGAAAAACGAGGGTCCGATGAAGCAGGGTCGGCGGCACTGGCGGTCGCGCGTTTTGCTAAAGTCGGGCACCCCGCTGGGGTTGCTGCCGCAGGCCATGGCCTTGGTTTTAGCCATGGAGCGGAAGCCAATGCCGCCGACCCCTGCATCGTGGGACCCTCGTTTGTCCATCGGGCCGCGCGGGACCCGGTTGGAAGTTGGGAGGGGTACCGGAACGCCTCAGATTGGTGCCCCCGCACGCGCAATGAATGCCGATGATGCTCGGAGGGATCAGGGGACGGAGGGGAAGGATACGCGAGGGGGTGGGGCCCGCTCACGTGCCCCCCTCTTGTCCGCCCTTCATGAAACGTGCCTGCGTTGCCTGACACTGCGCTTTGCCCTAAATAAAGCTAGCAAGCTACGGCGAGCACAGGCTCGAACCCACAATCCAAGCCTGGCTGGGGCGCTGATGGGGCGGTGGTTGGAGGTGGGGGGTTGGGCCTGCCTTGGGCTCGAATTACATCAACGAGTATTTACGCACTCAAAATGTATCGAATCCAGGCCTTGCTGGGGTGCTGATGGGGCGGTTGGGGCGGTGGGGGGAGGAGTGGGGTTGGGCTCGCCTCGGGCGCGAATTACATCAACGAGTATTTAATCACTCAAAATGCCCTTGGAGGGCTGGTGGGGCGGTCAAAACGGCCATCGAATCCAAGCCTTGCTGGGGCGGTGAGGGTGGTGGGGGGAGGTCGAAAATAATTACTACTGTGGGGGGGGTGGGGGCGGTCGGTGGGGGCGGTAAGGGCGGTGAGGGGAGGCTGCCTCGGGCTCGAATTACATCATTCAATTACTACTATTTAATCACTCAAAATGCCATCGAATCCAAGCCTTGCTGGGGCGCTGACGGGGCGGTGGGGGGAGGTGGGGGGTTGGGCCTGCCTTGGGCACGAATTAAATCGTTCAATAATAGGAGTTGGAAGAGAGCCTGACTTAATTAGTAATTAAACAACCTGGTCCTGGTGACCACATGCATGCAGTGAGCATTTTGCCATACTGACTTGTCCAACATCGATGTACTGATGGCTCTGCTGAAATGGGCAGACAAATCCACTAAATAGGTGGAGTGCATGCACAGGCGTACAGACTTAGCCGTGTTGGAATTTACCGACTATATCCTCTCAAGCCCTACTTCGCGACTCGCTCAGACATGTAGGAGGCAAAATTACGATTATTCATAATCACTCAAAGTTGCTGGGGCGCTGATGGGGTGGTGGTGAGGGCGGTGGGGGGAGGTGGAGGGTTGGGCCTGCCGTGGGCCCGAATTAAATATTTAATCATTCAAAATGCCATCGGATCCACAAGCCTTGCTGGGGCGCTGATGGGGCGCTGGGGGCGGTGGGGGCGGTTACTACCATTTCATATCGAATCCAGGCCTTGCCCGGGTGAGGGTGGTGCGGGCTTGCCTTGGGCTCGAATTGGTGCGCCGGGGCGGTGAGGGTGGTGGGCTCGAGTTAAATCGTTCAATTACATTAGTGTGCTGGGCTCCTTGGCTACCCGCCGAGGTCCAGCACACGAACAGCCGGAGTTGGAGTTTAGACGTTACGCATCAAGCCTTAGACTTAGAATTGGGATTTTTAAAGGCTGGGCCTCTTGGCTATTCCCCAAAGTCAAGCACAAGTTCAGTGCGCCGCCCGGGGGTCGGCGGATAGTAAGCAGTATCTAAATTTGTGAGAAAATCCACACTTCCAATTCGAAAGAGATTAATACACAATTACTTCGCTACTACGTTAGCTATCACGTCCTGTGTGATTATTTGTCTACTTGGTATTCCTGCACTGAACAGATGTTCGACGTTTTCATGATTTGCTGACTCAAGAATTAGATCCTCATGCAGCCAGGTCAGCTAGATGTTTTGCAAATGCATGGTACATTCTACATTGTACATTATAGCTAATGTTGGTTATGCACTAGGCAAATGTCAACCACGGCTAAGGGCTGACTGAATAATGATGTCCGAGTTTTGTTTGAATCCTACATGTTTATCATTATATGAGCGTTGATCTAAAGGTCCTTGTGTGGGGATTATATAAAACGGTTTTAACGTGTGAAATAGAGTGTCCGCGAAAGATCCGGGATGGGTGCGCGACAGGAAAACAATAATCAGCGAAAGTTGTTGTGTAATAGATTTGGGCCGTACAGGACTTGTATATGCTGTACAAGTCCGTAGGCATACAGCCGGGATGCAATATACCCAAAGCCAGATCGCTCGGCTGCCAGTCCACAAACACAATATTATTTTGAGAAAATCAACGGAATTGTGTTGCTGTGTAGCGGCTAACAGACAAAAAGCGGGATGAGAGATAGATGTTGAATGAGAGTATACAAGACAAAGTCCCAACTCCTGAGAACCACACCTGGACATTGATTGAATATATATATATATATGTATATACATACACAGATATATGTGTACTCCCTAGATTATACGTGCTATTGTGCTTACCATTCCATATTCAACATGCAAGAGAGAGATATATTTAGATATGCATGTGCAGAAACAGATACATGAGAGATTTATCTAGATATGCATGTGCAGAAACAGATACATGAGAATAACAGTGGAAGTAATGAAGCTAACGCTATATAATGTTTGCATATGTTTGCTACATAAGACGTCATGTGCACAATGCAGCGTCGCGAAGTTCCAGACTGCGTGCTATTGGGCTATTGTCTAAGACACAAGATGCAAGGCAATGCACCATGAGACAACATATGATAATGTAACAAGTCGGTTCAGAATATCCGTAGACGTGTATGTATTCATGCATGTGTGAATGCACACACACACACGTGTATATAGTATATATATATATATACATATATACATGCATACATACGCATATAGACACACACACACACGCATGACACACACACACATGCATACACATACCGACATATGCAGATATCATGCACGTACATGCACATACATATGTGCACATGCATGCATACATGCTTTCGTGCGTTCACATATGTGTGCGCAGAAAAGCATGTGTTTTTACAAATATGCATGTAGATATTGATAGATATCGGATGTTATACCTATCATAATGAGAGCGCCAGCTTTAAGCACGAGCTCATCTTCAATTCAGGTTTCGAGGCCGAGGCTCCGAGCCTTTGTGCTGAGGTGTCCATGCCGCGGCTCTCGCTGTCGGAGCGTCCAAGCCAGGGTTCAGCGTCAAGGGTGCAATCCAAGCGCACGCTGAAAAAGGGTTGAGAGTTTATGGTGGCGGTGCGACATTCCTTTCTCAACCCAGTTCTGCCAGCAGCCTCATCAGGACGTGGACTTGAACTTGTTGCCGCAGCAGGTAAAGGCACAACTGACTGTGTGCCCTAATGTGATCCCGTCCGACACGGGACCCTTATCTTGTCCCAACAGGCTGCCCTTGACTTCCTTGTCCTTCTGAACCCATGCGATGCGCTTGCCTTTGACGTTGAAGATGAAGCTGTCATGCGCAGGGTGCTGTAGCTTGCACTCTAGAGGGAGGCGTGGAGTGTTCTGCTTCCATGCTGAGATTGTGACCGATGCCTTGGCTGCGCAGCAGCCAACCTTGCTTCCTCCGCAGCAGGAGGCGATCCAATCAGCTTGCACGGTTGGAAGTTGAAGAGCATTTGCTATGTTGTTGGGTGCTGAGCAATGAGAAATCCTGGCCGAACAACATGGCTGCATCTTGGGGTGGAGTGGGATTCAAACCGAAACAAGTGGGTAGACGCTGATGATCAATACAAGCTTTTTTACAAAGACTTGGCACAGCCGTGTTTTCCGTTGGAGTTCACCTTTTGAAGGCCTATGTAGATTGCATGGGGAACAAACTGTTCAGATGAACGTTTCTCCATCGCGGTACTGTTGAGGCCCATCGCGGCAGGCGGACACTGGTTCTGGACTTGGATGCATCACGACTGAAATTTCAGTTCTAGATGGACATGCTTCGATGTCAGTGAACGCTCTCGGCTGCCGTCGGCTCCGGCCAGGAGACTCTGGTGCATTGCCACTGCCAGGCAGTTCCCAGCTTGGGGCCGCAGTCTCGGAATATGAGTTTGTGGGCAAAATATTGGTGTCCGTGGATGGCGTCACTCAAACGTGAGTTCTGAAGCGCTGGCAGAGATGAAAAAGGCGATCTCTTTTCGCTCTTCTTGGTGTCGCCCAGGAGTGCCGACTTGGACTTGGAGCTCGAGTCCGGCGAGCCCAAGGCAGCCTTACCACATGCATGCATACATACGCGCTGCATGCATGCAAGCATGCATGCATACATGCAGTATGTAAGCACGTATGTACATACCTGCCTACTTGCATACCTGCATGCGTACATAGATACACATACATATGTACATACGTGCATACATACACACATGCATACATATGCGTTCATGCTGAACATGGAACGACTCGAAACCTGACGGCCACCAACTTACCAAAAGCATGGTGCACATGGCGCACGATGGTTGGCTCCAGAGGTTTCTGTATCTACAGAAGGCTTTCCAGCATCCGAGGCATACTGGCACCAAGCCCATAAGAATAAAGAGACTCGTTGTAGGAAGCTGCGCAGGCTTGCCAATGCATGTGCAGGCATATAGCATAGCATTGTTCGGAAAATGGAGAGGTATTCAGGAAGCGTCGCGCATCCCAGCTTATTTGGAACCTGTCTAGGTCGTGATGAAAGCCAAGGTGTACGCGCTCAACCCAGTTCCGATGCTCATGACAGTGTCGTTGCACGGGGATCTGCGAAGGCGTGACAGCAAGAAAGAGCAACCGTTGGGTCACTATGTGCTTTGGGAGTGATGCTGGTCGATTCGGTAAGGCATGCATCGAGCGACAGTGTCCGCTAAGGTGAGGCCGAGTGCCCGTCGCCTGTTGCTGTTGGCAGCGGAGAAGTTCGAAGCAGGGGCCACGGCAGATGCCTTCTTGTGACGTGCGGAGTGTGTGCTGGAAGACTTCTCTGAGTGCACACTCTCGGTGCGTTCGATGCTGCAGGCCCATCGTGTTTCGGCTCCCTTTTGGGTTGAAGTATTGGGACTAAGACATGTCTCCAGAGCGAAGTTTCCAGGCACCATGAACTGCAAACTTGCCGCGAGACCGTAACCCTTCTATACTCTGTCTTGTTGGTTGTGGCAACCCGAGGCGGGGGGCTAAACCTGTTTATCGACGTGGGTGGTGTGCCGACGACAACCTAAGAATGTAGTGTGTGAGTGGCACATGATGCGTGAGAATGCCGAGTGCTACGACTTCAAGAAGCTCTTGAAGCTGCAGGTGGGACAGGCTGCTGACGTGGGAGAGTTCCTTGGCCCCGTTCATGTAGCTTTGGTTCCCGGGAAAGGCCGGGGCCTCGTCGCTGCCAGAGATGTCGGTGTTGGGGAGCTCCTCTTCGTGAACCGGGCCTTCGAGGTGGCGGAGACTGGGAAGCTCCTCGACGCCACGCTTCGGAAGTTGGAGGATCCAAGCCGATGCTCCGACGAGGAGTTCCAGAGCTTCTTCCGCCTTTCCCAAGGCAAAGGCCCCTTACCAGAATTCCCAGAGCTGAAGTGTCGGATGCCTCGAAGAGACTCGCCTCAGCCGCATGAGCCCTTGCGGTCTGTGAACCGAAGACTGGTCAAGGACATATTGGACTCGAACGCCCACGAGCTGGACACGTCAGATGTCGCCAAGTTGCAGTCGGCCGGGAAGCTCTCCTCCATCTTCTTGACGGCGTCGTTGGTGAACCACTCCTGCCGCCCAACTGCCGCACGTGTGTTTCTTGGTGACTTGATGTTCGTCCGGGCAGCCCGAGACCTCAGGATGGGAGAGGAGATTACGGACGGATACATCTCTGTGCTGCAACCGGTCTTCGAACGTGTGGCGGGGATCCGGAAGAGGTACGGCTTTGAGTTGCACGAGGATCGCGGCATCGTCGAAGCAGCCTTGCTCCCCGAGCCGCAGGTGAGGGCAATGCTGCGGGAGATGGATGAGGTGGAGGCTTTGGAAGATTTCCAGGCTTTGTCTGAGAAGATCCAGCAACTGGTCCATGGGGCCCTCTTGCGGCTGCCGAGCGCTTCTGCAGCCGTGCAGCAGGCGGCCCGGCGACTGGGCCTTGGCCTGGGGCTTGAGAAGTTGCTGCTTGGAGGTGCCGGAGAGGTGCCAGTCTTGGTGGCCACAGCGGCACTCCTTGAACACTTGGGTCGACTGAGAGAAGCCGCCCAAGCCTACAGCCGCTGTTGTTGGCTCATGGAGGAGCTAGCGCCACACAACGCCTACCATGCAAAGTGGGCATTGGAGGCACTGCTTTGTGCAAACCGCGCTGGTTTGCCTCTGGCAGATTATTTTGCATATGCCGGCAAGGTGCTCGCATTTCACATCGGGCCCGGGACGCTTGAGACAGTGTTGCAGTGCCAGCTTGGCGAGAAGCGGAGCCGCTCCTTGCTGGAGGCAGGTCATTCGTCTGCTCACCTCAGGATGTGGCCACCGGGTGAGGTAGGCATCCTGCAGACGCTGCACAGGCACGGAGACGGGTCCGCTTCGATTGACCTCCAGTTCCACTTGGACGAGGGAGTTTCGCCTGCAGAGGTCGAGATATCGGTGAACCAGATGCTGCTCTACGTGCAAGTGCGGCAGAAGCGCTTCTACCTGGTTCTGCCCGGAAAGGTGGACGGAGAGCCTGAGCCGATTCGACTCTCAATGCGAAGAAGAAGGATCAAGGCATCCTTTCACATCTCGGAATGATACCGTCGCGCCGCGGGCCCGCCGACGTGCTGCGATCAAAGGTCCGTCCCGAGCAATAAGGCTGCTTTTGCTTGCGCCAGGTCAGACGGTCACATAGTCCCAAAAGGAGCCATCATCGGAGTCGGCTGCATCTTGCAAGATCTCGGGAGACTCACGGGGCTTTGGGGGCTCCTTGTCGCTAGGCTAGGCGTGCCGAAAGGGGATCCTTCGCTGTGTCAAGTGACAACCGAGCCTCCTTGCAGCTGTATCGGCCCATTGATCTGGGGGCTAGGAGCTCTGGCAGGCGCGGTCCACTGCTGCACAGCTGCTCCTGCCCCTTGTTGTGTTCCGGAGTTGTAAGAGGCTCCTTGCAGATTCCTGTCCTCTCCTTCGGAAGGCCCCGGCTCAGTGCGGTGGTCCTGCGCAGCTGCCCTCATCATGGCTTCTCGGGCTGCACCCGAGTGTTGGCTCTCGGTCAAGGGACTAATCGACTAATCTTTGCTTCGTTTGGAATGCACCGTTTTCACGCGTGGCAGTAGTGCATCCTCCCACAAACCTCGCCAGACGGGACGAATGTTTTGGTTATTACCTATTGATGCAATCATGGACAGACTATCAGGCGTTGCTTAGCTTGCTGCAGCAGTAGTCACCGCTCTTGCATGGCCACGCCAACAAGTGACTGCAGAAGGGACATGGCGTGTACTTTGCGGGGTAGATAAGGAACGACTTTGGTCTCGTTTGCTTCGGTCTATAACTGAGAAAAAAATGCCCATGGCGTTTTTGAAGGTCGTCCAAAGGCTGTGGAACTTTGTGAAGCGACACAGGCCGCTGATCCAGTTTGCGTCGAGTAGGGATTCCGAAACCATTCGAGCATGATTGACGATAGGAAGAAGCTCATTGCGAGCGGTGTCATCGCTGGTGGGATATGGTATGCCCTGCGTGCTGAGACCTCGGTTTTTGTGCCAGCCCACCGAGTCGAGGGATCTGGCGGAGATCGTTTCTTCTGTTTGCTGATGATACCAGGTTCGGGTGACTTTTTGGGAAGTGAGTCGCTGTTTGGAGAGTGCCAGCCCATGCTAGCTTCCAAGGTGTACCTTCCGAGAGCGCAGCAGCGGATGTTTGACGAGTTAATGAAGGCCCTGCAGGAAAGCTGGGCCCTCAGTGGCCCCCCGGTATAAGTACTGAACTTTGTGCACTTTGTACTGTCTTCGTCCAGCACGTCGCAGGGTCGTGCAGGGCTTCCAGAGCTCCTGCAGCTTCCGAAGTTCGAAGCATCCGCTGGGCTGCCAGGTGGCAGTTCCTCCGACGACAGCAAGGCGGGCACAGCAGCTCGTGGTGGAGCCTGGGCTTAGAGCAGATAGCTCAAAGGGTGCTTTGGACTTTTCCGCACAGGCTCAGCAAAGGAGCCGAGCGCGGTTTCAAGAGAACCAGCTCGTCTCCGATGACTACGCGTCCAGTGCTTAACCAGGGCCTCGCACGAAGAGCAGGAGGCCGTTTCGAGACTCGGGGACACAGTAAGCAGGACCAGGTCGTCGTGTACCGTGGCCGCGATCGTCTAGTTACTCGGTCAACCGATTCACCTCCCCACTTCTTCCGAGGCGCAAGGGCCTGCGCTCCTACGAGCCAAAGCATGCCGGTGGGTGTCCCAGAAAGCGGGCTTATCCGCTGTGCTCGTGCCCGTCTGCTGCAGTAGTTTGAATTGTCTGTGCCAAGGCTGCTTCAAGATTGACAAGTGCCAACAGGAGGCCGGGCGGGCGACGATCTGGCAACAGCCCAGGTAGGAGCGGTGCGACCGGGCCTTCCGAGTGTAGCCCTGGCAGTTGCATGCAGGTCAAGGAAGCCAAGGCCAAGGACAAAAAGATCATCGCTTTCAAAGCGCTGCAGGCTCGGGAACAGGCATCTGTGATTCGAGGGCCCGGCGTGGGTTCTCGAGTGTATGAAGATCTGCTATGCTGCTATGCCGTCCAGGAGGAGTGCCTGTCTCTGTTGGCCTCTGCAGTCTACTCGATCCACGCCCAGCTCTTAGATTCTGGTCTCGTGCGAAATCATGCCAACCAGACATGCAGAAACCCTGCTAGCAGCATTGGCCAATTCAGGTCAACCTCCTGCTGCACCGCATCATAAATAATATCGCTGGCCGGGAGGCACTTGGAAGGTTTTCGGGCGGTCACGGCATGCTGGTCTGAATCAGTGTACCGCCCATGGACCTATGGTGGCTGTTGTTGTATTGAAATCAGCGAAGACATGATCTGCAGTTGCATAGCCCCAAAATCCTGTCGTCCATGACTTGAGACTACTCCTAAACAGGCCCAGTCGTTCCCTGCTGCATGGTGGAGCACAAACCAGCCATGTGGGTGTCAACCACGAGTCACCCGAATGAGGTAAGCGGAGCAGGTCTGAACGTTTGTAACGCCCTCCGGATTAGCGCTGTTCCTGGGCAGGTAACAGGGCGGTGCATGGGTCTTCCCTTATTTCAGCGCCCCTGCACTTGGGGATGGCTGTTCTCTGCATGCTTCCGTCCTGTGTTCTTTGTTTGGTTAGCTGCTGTGGCTTTGGCCGATGACGGGTGAATGATGCAATGGTTCATTCCTAGTTTAGTCAGGCATAGCTGGACGTAGGATGGGAAGCTGCGACTAGTCAATGTATGCTGAGATTATCTGAGACTGTCGGACAGAACTCGCCTTGGTTGCCTTCGAGTGCGTGCCGAAACCATGAAGAGAGTATCCCTAAAGCCTAAAGGGCCTACAGTAGAAACCCCAAAAAAGTCAGCAAACCATTCAGACGCCCTAAACCGTAAACCTTGCACACGAAACCTCTACACCGGCAGGCGAGGGGGCGACTCTCGCAAGAAGGCAGGGGGCCCAGGAGGCCCGGTTGAAGGACAGAGGGGCAGACTTACCTACATCGTGTATGTACGTACCTATGCAGGCAACCTGGTTGCAAAATGCAGCGACTTCTGCAGCACAGGGTTCAGGGTTTGCCGTTGCTGTGTTCGTTGGCTCGCTTTCGTTCCTACTGTCGAGACGACCCTGTGCATGTTTCTGATGGTTTGGATTAGGGATGGCAACCTTTATCATCGAGGCCGGCTCACGTCACTTAGTTTGGCACGTTGCGAAGGAGAAAGGCGCTCCAAAGCGTAGGGAGAGGTGGAGCCAGGCAGGCAAGCCGAAAACCGAGAAGTGAACAGAAGTGGGAACGGAAGGAGA